CGTGCGAAGGGCTGCCGTCGAGGCCCTAAACGGGCGTATAACGCTGCCTGATGGGATGCTCACGGCAGTGGCGGCACTGCTCGGCGACAAGAACAGTAACGTGCGAATGGCCGCCATCGAGACCCTAGGCGGGCGCGCAATACTGCCTGATGGGATGCTCACGGCAGTAGCGGCGCGGCTCGAAGACGAAGACAGTAATGTGCGAAGGGCTGCCGTCAAGGCTCTAGGCAGGCGCGTAATGCTGCCTGATGTGATACTCACGGCGGTGGTGGTGCGGCTCGAAGACGAATACGGTATCGTGCGAAGGGCTGCCGTCGAGGCCCTAGACGGGCATGCAACGCTGTTTGATGGGATGCTCACGGCAGTGGCGGCTCGGCTTGAGGATGAGGACAGGTACGTGCGGATAGCCGCCGTCGAGACTCTACGCAAGCGTGCAACGCTACTTGACTGGGTGGCCACGGCAATGGCGGCGCGGCTCGAGGACGAAGACATGTACGTGCGAAGCGCTGCCGTCGAGGCCCTAGGCGAGCGTGTAACGCTACCTGACGAGGTGCTCATGGTTGTGGCGGCTCGGCTTGAGGACGAGGACGGGTACGTGCGAAGCGCTGCCGCCAAGGTCTTAATACACAGGCATGAAAATCTCTCTCGTACCCATCTGAAAGGATCTCTTGTCGCATCTCTCTACACGACTTTACTAGAGATGAGTTTCAAGGAGCAATTAAGTTGGTATATTGAAAAAGACAAGTTCTCTGTCAATGTGCCGGACAGCATCACAGAGTTATCCATTGATCTTCAACAGAACGAGGTTATAGAACGGATTAACGGAGCGCGGCCAGCAGACTGTCCATCAACTAATGGCGGGAAGAGCTCATCGAACAACTAGTTCTACTAAGTGGACGGCAATTCCTACAGCGGGCGGATGCGAAGGATGGTTTGTCACAATATGGTGGAATATATATGTGCAAGTTGAGAAATGTAGCGAAGACTTCAGAATCGGAACAGTCCGTGTTCTGACAATTGTGCTATTGCCACCACTATCCACTAGACGTCGCGATGCCTGCGATGCCCGAACTATTCTGTCCAGCAAGAGCAACCGGGCCTTATCTTGACTTCACTGGGAGACCTGCCAAGGAAGGCCGTTAGTCCCTCGGTTCCTCGTGCCAAGCAAAAGGTGGTTTTAGGATCGACTTCGACCCGTGCACTCCACCTGAGCGTTCACCTCCAGCAGTCACAGCGTTGGGGCAGCTAGCGCAGGTTACCACGGCGGTTCCTCTGGTGGATACAGCGCACCGCCACACCACACGGCAAAAAAGGGCCCCCACTGTTATCCTCGTTATTCAGAGAGGGACACTTCGGTACCAATACCAATAAGTTTATTACGCCCGGTGACTGTGCAGCCAATAGGGCTTACTAGTCTAAGTTACTTGTACACGTCTTAAATTAATCTACCTTCTGCAAGCCCATAAGCAATCATCCTCCCATGTCTGTTTCCATTCTTGTTTCTACCCTGGTAGTACGGATTCTCGTGCGGTGCTTGTATTGACTGGCTGGCTTGGAGGCGTTTCCCCAAGTGTTCAGCGTCCAATCTACAGCGGCTGAAGCAGCACCTGTTATCAGCGACACGATTATTGTATGTAGTTTTGCTACAGAGTTACACATAATGGGGTTGTTCTTAGTCGTTGCTCAATCGGCCAGTGGCCAACGCAAATCGGATCATAGCCCTGACTGCTGTCATGTTGGGTTTCCATTTTGTTCCATCGGACGGAGATTCCCGCCGACGTAGAACGAAATGTTGCCTCGCTGTGTGTCGGTGCATTCTGCCATCACCTTTCGATGTGCCTCCCACTTTGGACAACGGAAGAGGAAGTGTTCACTTGTTTCGCGTTCGAGTTCGCAAACAGCTACGGATGGACGCCGCTACACGCAGCCTCTGTAAAAGGGCATACCGAGGTGGTCAAGCTGCTTCTTGCGAACGGAGCTGATGTCACTGTTGCGAGTAGCAACAGATGGACGCCGCTAAACGCGGCTGCTCATGGTGGACATGTCGATGTGGTCAAACTGCTTCTTGCAAGCGGGGGTGATGTTACTATTGCGAACAACAACGGATGGACACCGCTACACGCAGCCTCTGTAAAAGGACATATTGACATTGTCAAATTACTTTCAGAGAAGGGATCTCTCGCTGATGTCATGGATGATAAAGGACCATCGCCATTTTCTTATGCATGCACGAGGGGACACTTGGAAGTCGTTGAACACCTATGGTCTCGTAACGTTGCGGCAACTACTACAGACCGCTATGGTGCAACCCCGCTCTTTGCTGCTACAGGAAACGGCCATGAGAAAGTTGTTGCATATCTACTTGCCATGGGGTGTGACTACGGCAGTTTTGTTGGCGGTTTGGGTCGAACTTTACTGTGGTGGGCTGCAAAGAGTGGAAATGCGAAAGTAATCGAGGCCGTTGTTCAGCTTACTAAAAGCGAAGGCATTCTAAGTCTGCGACGAGGACTTGGCCGTGGAGCCCAGAGCGACGCCGATCGGTGAATCTTGGGCCTGGTGCAAATGCTGCACTCGATATATGTTGGAAGGTAGCACGCACTACCATTGCACCACTTGCCAAGGTGACGATTTCGACCTCTGCATTGAGTGCTTTCAGATGGGCACCAGGTGTCATGATGGCTCGCACGAGTTGGTGTTGCGTCAGGCAGAAGTGCGTTAGAGACGACAAGTAGGACTGCTTGTAGCTATGTATAGTTTTATAGCTTCCCCGTGGTGCGGCGTGGTTTATCTGCACACGTTTCTTTCAACTGCGACGTGGGGAACGCGTTGGGTCAACTATGATCGCGACGTTTCAGCTTTGTACAGTACCGCACTTGAAGGGATTCCTTCGAGCGTTCCTCAAACTTGTCGCAGAAGCGCTGATGAATGTCAGCCCAGCACAGCCCTTGTGTTTCCTTCCATGTAACGAGCCATTGCTCTTCATCCGCCGTGAACTTCCTTCTTCCGTTGCTCTTAACCGTGGACCTGCCTCGACCCTGCTGAGAGGACATTTTACAAATTTTGCCTGATTCTTCCCCGTGGTTCATGCATAAATCCCAGTCGAACTGAAAATGAAAAGACGCCTTGCTGTTCATGATTGTTCGTTGAAGGACGACATCCTGCAACACCCATTCATCGAACGCCGCGTCTGTAGAATCCGTCGCATTATCAGCACGCTCTGGCAAGACCGAGGGAGCTGAACCTGCTACCTTGTCGCTAGCCGCAGAAGTAAAAGAAGCGCTCCCTTTGCTCAGAGATCTGTTTCTTCTGGATATGCTATGACGTTTGCGGCGCTTGCGGGATGGCAGGTCCTCGTCACTGGACAGGCCCTCACCGTCTTCTTTAATTTCGTGAGCTGTCAATGGGCAGTAGTCCATATCGCTTAATGCATCACGCAGCTCTTCCGCATCAGACTGCTCGGTATCGTGGCCTTGCGATGCTTCCCTTCGCCTCTTATTCCGCAGTTGCTGGCGTGTGCGGTGCATGAGATTGACAGACGTAATCTGGTCACATGTAGATGCCAGTGCGCTTAAACCATTGCCAGACACGTCTGGTAAGCATGTCTCTGTAGGTTTTTGTGTGTCGGTCTCGTCCATAGCCTCGTCAACAGCTGACTCGGAAGTACAGCTTGTCTGCGTAGAAGCAATGTCCCAAGGCTGGGAGTCAGGTGACGGACAATCGGTTCGCGAAGGAACAGGCAACGAAGCGAGCGTGGATGCACGAATGAGAGGTGCTAGAGGTGCCAATGACGAAACATCAGTTGGGCAGTCCGCCGTCGGCTCACCGAAGGACGGCTCGGGGCTCTGGTGCGTTTGTTCATGATTGGGCGGCGTGAAAGAAGCTGCTTGGTGTGTTGGCTCGCGCTCATCCCCGTGATTTGACCTTTGATCACGGTCATTAACTAGCATTCTCATTAGCGGTGCTCGATGCAATAGCACGTACGCGACGTACCAGTGCTGCCTTCGTTCTGCGTCTCTTTCAGATGTTGCATTATGGCTTGGATTGATGGGAGAGTTTCATCCGCTGGTGCGTCATTTGATATATCGCTCGTGTCTGATGCTGCGTCGGAAATATAGATGACGCTGTCTTCGCCAGACGCCAGCCCCTGCAATGGGTTGAACGATTCTTTGGACAGTACGTCAACCATAGTGAGGGGGCCGTCATCCTGAGGCGCCAACTGTCGTTCCACTGTAGAGGAATGAGAAGACAGCTGATCGTCCACGCGTCGCGGTCTTGGCACTTGTCGCGGTGTCCAAAAGGTTTGGCAATCGAGGTTGACTTGAACCGCCATATTCTCTGGTGTAGTGAAGTGGGAGATGGTGCCAGGTCGGCGAGCGTATTGTCAAAGTACCGGCTGTGATGCAGAGGCAAGGAGAAACGCGTGGAGAGACAGGGCCCAGCGCAAAAAGTGCTTGCTGAAGAAGCACCTTTTATAATTGTCAGGTCTAGTAGCCGACCGCCTGACGCCGGCCCTTGCCCGGGTTCACACGCAATCTCCACGAGACTTTCATCTACCTCGCATGTCCCTTCTGTTGACATTACGCCATTGGCAACAGGAAATCTCAAGAATACCTGTCCTCAAGCATCGCCGTAATTGACACATTAACACGTGCCAGCCAGCTATTTCATGTAGTTCGGGCCGAGGCGCAGTGAGATTGCCCGACCAAAGTGCGAAAATTGCCTCATTTGACGCCCGGTCGCGGTCGCGATGCCACGTCATCAATAGCATTTTCATACCGCCCAATGCGACACCCAGCGGAAATGACGCAAGCTGAAGCACGCCTGGACGGCCGTGCTTTGCGCGGCAGCAGTCTGATTGGATAACCGGCTACCAAGGGTCGTGAAAACGCCGAGAGCGAGAAACAATTATGCAGAAACGGCCGGGGCACATGTTCCAAGTAGGAAGTACGTCCGTAGTCCTGACTAAATCACCAGTTTATTCTGGTCTGGTGCATCATGCTGACACAGGTCGGTGGATTCTCGTATGGTTCGAATGTGACACGTCAGACCGGGGGCGTTGGAGGCTTCTGACCGCAAAAGACTCCATGTTTGTTGTCAAGCAGTCGGTGGTCTGCGAGCGCATCTGTCGTGGTCGAAATGAGGCTGCAAGACGAGGGGTAGTCTGCTCGCACAAACAAGCGCAAAGTTGCTGCTGCTGCACTTGTAGGACGTGCTGGCGCCAGGCATAAACATAGCAGGGGCTCAGAAGTCGACTGAGGGCTCAAAGGCGCTGCGAGCCATCGCAGACAAGAGGGTGGGCGGGCGAACGCGCCGCTGCAGGCGGTTGCCCATGCAGCGGAGGGACCGTACGTCGGGAAATGGGGCAGAAGCAGCGTGAGAGAGCTTTGTAGTCTCGTTTTGCGACAACAAGGCGAAGGGGGGCAACGTGCGTTGTGAGCGTGGTCGCGAGGGGGGTGGGAAGATGAGGAAAAGACGAAAGTTGAGGTAGGAGGGAAGGGCGGTGGGTGGGAGGACCTTTATAGCGGGCGCGCAAAGCGGCGATGCGCTAGTAGGGGCATGGCA